GCAGGCAACTTTTTTGCTACCCATCTCTTATTAAAAAATAGCTTATGATATAGTAAACATCAAAAATAGTAAACATTAATTTTAATTAGCTGGTTAATTTTAAGGTGCCAATCTGACTAAATATGCCCATTCCAGCTATACTACAATGTCTAATCTCTGAATAATTTTGGTAATTTCAGTTTTCAACTGCCACTACATATCCACATATTTAAAGGTTTCCTGCTCAATAACCAACCATATTTAACACCAGCGTTTTCCCCTTGATATCTGTCCACATGAATGGCAGATGAAGAAATCATCACACTGAGGAATGTGAAATTTTAGTTCTATGACCTAGATGGCTATACTTCAGAATACAGCTGGTCCTACAGCCACAGGCAGGACACACAATTCCAAACCTTCAATAACCCAGCTAATAGAACCTATAAAACTAAGGTGTATTTAGGAAAAAAACAGGGTATAACAATAAAACATATGGTAGAATGTAAAAATATGTAGTTATAATAAGTGCACTTCTAAACACATGCACATGCAGAATAAAAAAGGCACATCAACTACACACAGATTATTACAATAGACTTGATGGTGGTATTGTTTTTGTCATTATCAGAACCATAACCTCTCTGAAAGGATAAATGTTTATAATCAAGACTAGCAACATGCAAAGCACATTGAAGAAATTTCATTCTAAATTAAACAATGGAACATTTCCTCTCATTATTTGGTTTGTAGCACATGATGACAAATTCAGTCATGATCCCCCAGGGTGTGGGTCTCCAAGGACAAGCAGTTATATGTAAAATAAACAACATGATCATGGAATATAGACTCCTGGTCTGTCTCTTCATCAAGAGAGTCTCTATGCTCCCTCCAAAATTTCTTGACCATTGGAGAAATTTCATTACTTAGCTCCTTTATTTAATTACATTTTGTAAGAGTCACCCACTACCTTTAAAGGAATGGGAAAGTTTGTAAGAAAATTTCAATTGTGAGGGACATTGTGCATGCAGTTTATCAGTAGTAGTGAGGAAGCCATCAATAAAAACAAAGGATATGAAGAAAATCTGCTTCAATGGTGGGCATCTTTACATTCTCATATGAGGTATGTTCAGATCAAGGTACTTTTTGGGAGAAAAATCCTATGCAATATGAGTTAGATAGAGTAGTATTTACTTAAGCTAATGACACATATTCATGGTGCTAAACTCTACTTTCATTGTTCCTAAGATCATTACATTGAATTTGAAAATAAGTTCTTAAACATTATTGGGAACACTAGGGATTTTAAACAAAATATTAAATGTAAGTTTTGTCCTCAAGAAATTTAATGTTTCAGGAAAAATAAAGTAAAGCACACAAAAGCACACATACATAAAAATAGCAAAATTGCAAAGCTTTTTGCAAATATTGTGATAGTATTGGTGCAAGGAAATTACAGCAAGAAAAATAGTGATATTTGGATTCACTAAAAATGTTTTCTTAAAAGGGCTAATTATCAAGCTTGTTATTAAAAGTTGATATGGTATAATTCTAGAGGAAAAAAGGGACCATTTTAGTGCATTAGAAGAAATAATTGTTTTTATAGGGTAAAATTTAAAAATATTGGTAGGACAACAGCATTACGTTTAGTGATAGAATACTTTGTATATATACTTCTTGTGGGATATTATAAAAGCCTATGTTGAATAATTTCAATTTGATGCATTTTATAATAAAATGCTTTCAAATACACTTAAATTATTGTATTCAAGGCCAAAAAGTAGTTGCATTGTAGTGATACAGGCTGGCAAGAAACCTTGTATCTAAATAACAGTTGGTGACAGCGGGAATAAAGGCAAAGAGACATTTTGGAATTCTTCCTTTTCATTTTTCCTGACTGCCTTTTCAATAGCCACAAACCTGTGATTATAAAAGGATAGCCAAAACCCATCAGCTAGTGATAGGAAAGCAACAGGAAAATGAAGATCATATATCACTGGATGAAGAAATCAATGAGATTTTGAATTTAAAACTTGAGTGTTAAATTTAAAACTAAAGGAAACCAGGATAAGCTCTGGGGCCATTATTTTATTTTTCTCTATTTTAATGCCATGAGCACGATTGACGTTGGTTAATTCAATCTACATCATCCTCTCAGGTGTTTAGCTTAATTAGCTCAAAACAATATCATGGCTACTTTCACACAGTCAGCCCATAACATTATTTTAGCAATTATTGTGTTCTATGTGTATTTTTCTGTGCCTGTTTTATTTGTAAACTCATAAATACGCAATGTGGACCTTGTACTCAAAATGATTGTGAAGTGAGTAAAAATGAACACATTTAAGTGACCCTGCACCCTTCTAGATTCTATGTTTCCCTGTATTTATAAAACTTAAAGCCTATGCATAACACAGTGGGGGCACTATACAGGAGTTGAAGTGAAAGTATATTTAATAAAGGTTTAACAAATTGCCCAAATCATAATGGGGTATAGAAAACTGAAATGATCACTGATGGCTAGTAATATTAATGGAAACTAAAGTGATAGTTAAGGTATTCTAGGAAGACACAGAGTCCTGAATTAATGCAAAAAGTGTGGTCAGGGTCCATCCAAATAGAATGAGAAGTTGTACGGATAGCAATGGGAAATAAGAGAAGAATCAAGCAAATCATAAAATATGATAATAATGCACAATCCTCACCTTTGTCCATATATTATAAGTATATAAACATGGGATTTGAGGTTTATCAGTAAACAATAGACAAATTTTGGCATGGTAGTTTATTAGTTGACTCAACTCAGATTATTAACTACAAGTTCCAAGTTATAAGATTTATAGGAATTTAAAGAAGTTTCCTGGAACTATTCCCTCTTAACCAGGAAAGAATTTCCTGCAATAGTCAGTCCAGTTCTTAGAACCAATATCAGCTCAGGGAGCTGATGATATTATACCAGGAATATTGAATAGGCTGTCTGAGAGATTTAATAAACAGTGTGAGAAAGTAAAACAAACAGACAAAAATGTTAAAGATGTTTGCCTAAGAAAAAGCAATAGGACTAGGTAAAATGTTTTGAACTATTTGAAAGTTTATATTTTTAAAAGGAGTAAATTAGCTTTATTATTTCTGAGAGCTTCAGAAATAGAAATATATTAGAACCTGAAAATTAGAGGAAAGTCAATACTAATACAGAACATCCTAAGATAAATGTTGAAATACAGAATTTACTATGATGTTTAGTGCTGTGTTTTGTTTAAATGACAGGGTTTGGGAGGAGTCAGTAGATATGAGGACAGGAGGTTTAGTGTAAGGAGTGGTCAGCAGAAATATCGAAAATGAAGACTAAACATAACGTACAGGAAAGTAGTCAGGAATTCTCTGACTTTCACCTGCATCAAGTCTTGTCTTGCAACAAGTCTTGCGTAGAGTTTTCCAGAAGGTCGCTTAGTTTATATTTAGCAGAGCATGATTGACAATTGCAGGAATTCTTTCTAGAGTCCAAGCTCTAGAACGTTTACTAAGTATAATGCTTTAATGTAGCTGCCTTGCAGTAGTCGCACACTGTGTATCAAAATTCTTAACATGTATGTTCGTGACTCATTAAAAGTAGTCTAAGCTCTTGAATTTAAAGAAAAGCCTTTTTCTTCAACACATGTGACTAAAATACATGAAGTTCACAAAAGGGCCACCAATCTCCTATGTCAAGGGATGCTTGATCACACAGCTGCTGCTCTGTGCCTGGGATTCGTAGTGGTAGATTTGATGGCAGCCTGCCGCTAGTTACAGACACGGATAAAGTTGTGCCAGTTCACAGATGTGTTCAAAATGAGAATATATTATCTATTGGTCTCCAAATCCATTTCTAGAACCAGTCTTTTTTGTTTTTAGGCTTAACCATGTAAAATTTCTAATAGTCAGAATCCTGTTTGTTTGTGAAAACAAAATATTCATTTTTTTTCAATCTTACATATTCTTTCATTTATCTTTGACCACCAAACGTAAGTTTGTCACATAAAATTTTTTTGGTTGATTGTTTTTGTGTGAACAAGTACTTTTTTTTATGTGGTTTATAATCACTGATAAATTGCTACTTGTTTATTTCTGTTTAATACAATGTGCACAACAAAAAGACTGCATAACCAGCAGAAGATAATTAATGTGAGACTTTTATCAACATCTAAAGTTACTTTCTTGGAAAAAGCTTTATGTTATTGAGCATTTTGTGTCTTATAAGTGACTGTTGAATGCATGCATACAAAGAGGAATTTTTGATGAGACCACATAAAGAACGACTTATGTAGTTCTTCTGTGAGTCTTAACAACAGCATATACCTAGAATAGGTAAAAATTCATTGTATCAATACAAAATTGTGAATGTCCAACAAGATATATCATTTACAAGGAATTCTCTCCCATCATGATTGTATGGCTACTATGATCAGCTCAATGCTTTTCTGATCTCGCTTTATTTCCTTCTTATTCTCATGTAATTGTATTTTATAATGGGGCATTCAATACTCTAAGTATCACGTACTTTAATAGATAATTTAGGGCCGAACCTGTGGCTCACTCGGTAGAGTGCAGCGCTGGGAGTGCCAAGACCACAGGTTCAGATCCTATATAGGGATGGCTGGTGTGCTCACTGGCTGAGTGCGGTGCAGATGACACCAAGCCAAGGGTTACAATCCCCTTACTGGTCACACACACACACACACAAAACGATAATTTAAACAAAATAATAATATTAAGTACCACTGTTTTGAAAAAATATTTCCAGATAAAAAAATTAAGTAGTGAAGGATAAAGTTTATTGCCTGTAATCCAAATGTTGGTAAGCTGTCAAGTAAGACTCCAAATAAAGCAGAACATTTTGAATGCAAACTGTCTACATTTGTCTTCACTAGTTTACAATAAATTTCTCCCACTGCACCTTCTCAAGTTCTGTTGCTCAAATTTTTTTCTCAAGTTCTGTTGCTCAAATTTTTTTCTTTTTATTCTTTTTTCCTGAATCAAGGGCCATGGGACTGGAGGAAAGTAACCAGAGCTCTGTGACAACATTCACCCTCTTGGGCTTCTCAGAATTCCCAAACCTCCAAGCAACCCTCTTCCTGGTGTTCCTGGTCATCTACACAGTCATTCTGGTGGGGAACCTGGGCATGATTGTGATCGTGAGGATCAATCCCAAACTCCATACACCCATGTACTTTTTCCTCAGCCATCTATCGTTTTTGGATATTTGTAATTCCTGTGTGTTTACACCCAAACTGCTAGAAATATTAGTTGTGGAAGACAGAACTATCTCCTTCACAGGATGTATGGTACAATTTTTCTTTGGCTGTGCATTTGTGATTACAGAAATGTTCATGTTGGCAGTGATGGCCTATGACCGGTTTGTGGCTGTTTGTAACCCCCTGCTCTACACAGTTGCTATGTCTCCTAAGCTCTGTGTTCTCCTGGTAGCTGGAACTTATACATGGGGTGGACTCGGTTCCTTGACACTCACATATTCTCTTTTGGAACTATCCTACTGTGCATCCAGCATCATAGATCACTTTGGTTGTGAGTTCTCTGCCATCCTCTCTGTATCCTCCTCTGACCCCTACTTCAGCCAGATGGCATGTTTAGTCATTTCTACATTCAGTGAGGCTTGCAGCCTCCTGATCATCCTTGCCTCCTATGTCTTTATACTTGTGACTATCATCAAGATGCCTTCCACGGGTGGATTCAGAAAAGCCTTCTCCACTTGTGCCTCACACCTGACTGCCATCACCATTTTTCATGGGATCATTCTCCTTCTCTATTGTGTGCCCAACTCCAAAAGCTCATGGCTCCTGGTCAAAGTGGCCACTGTGCTGTTTACAGTTGTGATCCCCATGCTGAATCCCCTTATCTACAGCCTTAGGAACAAAGATGTGAAAGAGACACTGAGGAGGTTGATCAATTCCAAACTGCATTCTCACTCAATGTAATTCAAAAAAACATATAATTTATTAATATCCCATATGTGTTCCATTTTTCATGTACATTGTTGATGATAGTTTTGATTATTTTAAACAAATATACAATTCTTCTTTAAATCAATTAAATATTGCAATTTGTATGGTTTTCAGTGTTCAAGATGCCTTACAATGACCTCTGGTTATATACCCAGAGGAATGGAAATCATCATGTCGAAGGGATACCTGCACTCCCATGTTCTTTGCAGCTCTGTTTACAATAGTCAAGGCATAGAATCAACCTAAATGTCCATTGATGGATGATTGGATTAGGAAACTGTGGTATATATATACACCGTGGAATATTAGTCTGCCATAAAAAAGAATGAAATTCTCCCATTTGCAACAACATGAATTAGACTGGAGAAACTCATGTTGCGTGAAATAAGCAAAGCACAAGGATAAATAATATATGCACTCACTCATATGTGGGAGCTAAGAGAGACAGAAGGAAGGAAAGAAAGACCACAGTAGTGTGTTGCACTTGTGGAGGGAGAGAACGTACCTTGGGCTACAAAGTGGAGTGGGGGGAAAAGGGAGAGAGGGAGAGAGATTGGGGAGAACATATCTTGGGATACAAAGTGGAGTGGGGGGAAAGGTGGAGGGGGAGGGAGGTTGGGTATAATTGAGTGGGGGACACGGGGTACAATCACAATTTGTGGTAATGGGCATGCTGTCAGTATGGATCTGGCCTTCACATCTTGGACACGAGGGGTGACAATCAGCTTTGTATCTCATGAATATTCATAACCAATAAAAAATTAAAATTAAAACATTCTTAAAAAAAAACTATAGTACATTCTAATTCACTTCATCTTTGGTGGTTTTAGAAATAATTACTTTTAAAAAACTTCCCACTGGACACTATAGAAGCCAGGATAAAGAAGAAGTAACTTTAAATTTTGCTTAATAAAATTGTTGCAAACACACATGACAACTGCCTTTTCTGGATCTGAAGCCAAGTCCCATAACCAATTCTTTCCACTCAGAGAGTTTTATAAAACACAACTTTTTGTTTCCCTTTTAAGTATCAATGTTATTAAGTACAAAATGAAGTGAAAGGAATGTTTAAATATTTTGGAAAATAATTATAACCTTACTTTAAAACAAATAGTCAAATTAGCCTGATTAAGACATGACAACTTTGTTGTTGTTGTTGTTGTTGACATATTTAGAAAATAAATAAATATATTTCTTTAATTGAATGAGAAAGCAGATTTTAGTTGGGTTAAGCCCACACTATCAGAAAACTTGGCTGCGGAAGAACTAACTTCTTTACAGAAGGCATCTTGCAAGATTTCCTTGTGTGTATATTTGCGGTAACAGAAACATTCATTTTTTCATTGATGGCATCTGCTGCACACAGTTGCAATGCCCCAGAAGTTTGTTTCCTGTCAAGTCATCATACTCCTAAAGTTTGTTCTGCTCCTTGACATTCACCTAGTTTTTTTGACCTTATCCTTTTGTTCGACTCACTTCATAAATGATTTTTCTGTGAGCTGCTGCCATTGTCCTGTGTCTATTCTCCACCTGTGCCTCCCATCCAACCACCAGCCCTGTCTTCCATGGAACCAGCAGTTTATTTACCGTGTTCCTAACTCCACATCTTGTGGTTCATGGTCAACGTGGCTTCTGACTTTTACACAGTGGTCAACTCCATGCTGAAAAAATATCAAAAGTCCGTGTTTCGATTAGGATTGTTAACATTGTATTAGTCAATGCACTTCACATGGCTAAGCCCAAATTCAAGGGACAAGGAATTTCTCTGTCTTTTGTGGAATTACAGCTAAAAGACAGTGGTCGTGGGTACCCAGAGGGAGAGATGAAGAATTGGCTTTAATATTTAATGTACCAAATATTGATTACAAAGTTTAACCTCATGGAACACATTTTTCCCTCTTAATGCCAGGTAAAGACAACATGAATGGCTGGTTTGAATGTATTTTCTAATAGTTATTTATTTATTTTTTGACATAAAAGTATGACTTGTTGAGGTTAGAAATAAGAACTTGCCTTTGTTGCTTGTCTCTTTCCAAGGATGGTTAAAGCTTACTAGGTAAGCAGAACATAAGTAGATACCCATTAGTCATATATCCAATCAAATCTACTACAGGTTGCTGGTATCCCCCCAAAGATTTTTAATTTTGTTTCTAAATAAATAATTAAATTTTCTTTATTATAGAGCTTTCCAAAATCACATATCCCTATTTATATCACTGTTTAGAGATAACAAAACTTTCAACACTAGTATTTTATACCAATGGTGACAAATATTTTACTTTTATTTTTCATTGTCTTTCAATTAAGCCTTATTTTTCCCCCAACAGTTATAGATGTCTTGCCAATGCACCTAAAGTGGATGTTTCTTTCTCTTTTCCGTTTTTTTTTTTTTTTTTTTTTTTTCATTCATCTACCGTGAAAGAAAGTATAACAAATAAATTAGCTGATCATGACTTCCTATTTTTAGTAAAACCAAACTAACACACAGTCCCAGGTCAAAAGAAGTCCTTGTAGTTGGTCCCGACTGCAGTAAATACTGTTGTGATTTGGAGACATGAATATGGAGATGCAATGATAGTCAAAATGTTTGGCTCTACTAAAGAGGACTCCAGAGTGAGAATGGAAAACAAGAGAAGAGATAAGAGACTTGCTCATTGTATTTTTGCTTGTTTGTTTGCCTGTAAGTATAGCCCAATAAATGGTACTTTTCTCTGTAGCAAAACCCGTGTCTACCTAGGACTATTTCTTTCCTACTAGATTTATGATGTTAATTACATGGCTTCCCTTCCTTCAGTTTTGCTGCTGCATAGTACATTGTTGTTGGATTTTATGATTTTGTGTTATGTAACCATAAGTTAATAATATAGAAATAGGTACACTAAAATGGGATGTTTCCACAACAAAAACATGAGATATGTGGCTTTTTATCTCTGACTTATGGCAGTTGGCAAGGAAAAAGGGGAGAAAAGGTTGTTAGAAAACATAAATCAATGTTATGTAATAGCTCGTTATAAACTGTTTTTCTGTACTTTAATGAACTAGTATGTATTAAACTTTCTTATGGTTGGTTTGTGGTTTGTCTTGTTTGACAAATCTTTTTCTTTTCCTTTCTCAGAAAACTTAAAAAATTGAAATCATTCCAAATATCTTTTCAGACCAGAATGGACTAAAACAGGCAATTAATAATAAATAAAACTCTAGAAAATATACATATACATGGAAACTAAACAATAGGCTCCTAAATGACCTATGGGTCCAAGAAGAAATTAAACAGGAAATCAAAAATTTCCTGAAAGTAATGAACATAAAGATACATCATACCAAAACATGTGGGATATTGAAAAAGCAGTACTAAGAGGCAAATTTATTGCAATGAATGCTTACATCAAAAGAACAGAAAGACGTAAAATAAATGGCCTAACACTATGCCTTAAAGAACTTGAAAAGTGGCATTTGGTATTTCTTATATTAATATGAACGGTTTGTTTCTTAAAATTTTTGTCTTCATTTGATAGTTATCTGTAGACACAAATGGAGTTTTTAAGGTTTTTTTTTTTTGGTAAAATGTATGTAACAACTTTTGCCATTTCAGTTGTTTTTCAGTGTATAATTCAGAGGTATAATTTACATTCACTGTTGTGTAACCATCACCACTATATATTTCCCAAAACTTTTTAAAATTCTAAACAGAAACTATGTAACCATTAAGCAATAACTCCTCATTTCACCCACCCCCTGGTGCCTGATAATTTCTCATCCACTTTTATTTCTCTATGAATTTGCCTATTTTAGGTGTAAATCAAATCATATCATAATTGTGTTTTATTTCTTGCATCTTTTTGCTCATTTTACTTAGCTTAATGTTTTCAAGGATTATCCACATTACAGCATGTATAGAACTTCATTGTTTTTTTATGGCTGAATAATATTCCATTGTATGTATGGACACATTTTGCTTGTCAATTCTCCTGTTGTTGGACATGTGTTATTTCTATCTTTTGACTATTGTGAATGATGCTGCAGTGAACACTGGCATAGACAATTTGTTTCATCCCTCTTTTCAATTATTTTGGTATATTCCTGCGAGCAGAATTGCTGAATCATATGGTAATTTTATGTTTAGTTTGGTGGCTGCACAATTTTGTATTCCCACCAGCAATCTACGAGGGTTCCAATTAGGAATCCACATCGTTACCAACACTGGTTATTTTCCATGCTTTTAGTTGTAGCCATCCTAATAGGATATGGGCAGTGGTACATCTCTGAGATTTTGATTTGCATTTTGCACATAACTAATGGTGTGAAACATCTTTATGTGAGCTGACTGGCCATTAGTCTAGCTTCTTTGCAGAACCACCCTTGCATTAATTGGATAAATCCCACCTGCTGATAGTGCAAAGTTCTTTAACATGCTATTAGATTTCGTTTGCTAGTGTTTGGAATTTTTGCATGTATATTCATAAAGAATATCTGTAATTTTCTTTTCTTGTGACAGACATCTTATCAGGCTTTGGTATGATGTTGCTTTGCATTGCTTTGCCCCCCATGGATTTGTCACCCCGCTTCCCCTGGATGACAGAAATGCAAAGGATTACTCAAAGCCCAACTCTACTGAGCCGTGAGAGACCCTGAAGTGGTTAATCTCCCAAAGGAACCCTCAAGCTAGAGGCATCCCTTACTTGGGAAATTAAAAATGAATTGCGGTTCTCTTCCTGCATTTATTTTCCAGACCAGGAAGTTACAGGAAGAGAACAAAAGTGGGGTTAAAGTTTAATAGTATAGGTTGGTAACTTTCAGTGAAACAAGCCAGATGACATTCCAGTAGACAATTAAGTGGTCCTATCAACACAGGCTTGATCTTAGCAAACATTCCTTCTTATTGTTTCTGAGTCTCTTTACATAACAATCAGTAACTAGTCTGTCTTTGAGCCAGCAACCTGCTGTGCCACAATTCTTATCTTGCAACAGAGGCT